GTGTTTTCTGAATAACAGCAAAATGAGTCAGTCTCCTAATCTTTGGAAAATGGAAAATTATTAATGGTTCAATAATAAGATTATGTAAATGAAATGGATTAGAAAACATTTCAGGAAGGCATCATTAAGTATTTACTGAGCAAATTAGCAGAGAGATTACCCACATCCTTGATCTTAAAAAAAAAAAAAAAGTGGCTATTTTCCACAACAGCTGCAGAACTAAACTGCAAAAGTATTTTTTCACTAACACCCACTGACACTGAATTTCAGAGACATCAGCAGAGCAGTCACACTCATTCGGGAAGGGACAGACGCAGAGGCATGGGCAGAACCTCACTGTGTGTGGTGGGGCCGGCAGGTCACTCCACATCACACACTCCAAACCAGGAAAGAGACAACCTGAGGTAAAGAACATTGATGGCAGGCATATGCTGAGAACCTGGGACTCCACAAGGCCACATGAGAAAGAAAAGTACTTCTAAAGAACTAGGAGCTGGATTTGCTGCCCTTGAAATTTCTTATTTTTACTGGAAGCGAAAGATAGCTTTCTCTAGAAAAAGAGGCCATCATTTACAAGTAGTGACTATTTTTTTCTCAACAGAATCTAAGCAACTGATGTCTCCATCAGCTTTTCTAAGAAAGGTTTTCCGTAGTCACTGAGTTACAAGTCACAAGTGCTGCTTTAAGGAAGATGGGTTCCCAGCACAGATGAAAGCAGTGACTTTTGTGCTTTTTATCGCTCTCTTCCTTTTCCTCCTCTGCTTCCCCTCACACACTCACACCTCAGAACTCCTGAGATCACACACTGGATTCAAAAACACTGGTGATTCATTTTGTTTGTCTTCTGTGGTATTAGTGTAGGAAAAATAATATTAAGATAGTGAACAGCTACAATAATCTCATTTGGTGATACTTTTATGCCTGTATGTCCAAAAATTTAGAACTGTACAAAGTCATTATAATACTTCATGAGTCTAGACAGACTTCTCTTATCTTTTCAGTTTATTTAAAGGAAAATATGCCATGAAAGATGAAAAAACTAAAAAGAAATTAAAAGATATCTCTCTGGAAAACCCTGTCTCTAGAAACTGGATTTACCTGGGCAAAGTGGCACACACCTGTAATCCTGGCACTCCAGGAGGCTGAGGCAGGAGGATCACATGTTCAAGCCCAATCTGGGAATCTTAGTGAGACTTTGTCTCAAATTTTAAAGTAAGAATAATTTAAAAGGCTTGTAATGTAGCTCAGGGCAAAAGCTCCAGGTTCAGTCTCCAGTACAAAAGGAAGAAGGGAAGGAAAGAAAGGAAGTAGAGAAGAAAAAAAGAAAGGAAGGAAGGAGGGAGGGACAGAGGGAATGAGGGAGAAAGGGAGGGAGCGGGGAGGAGGGAAGGAAGGAGGGAGGGCAGGGGGTGGAGAAGGGAGAGCAGAACAGAGTAGAAAACTACTGATCAGGCATTGAAAAGAAATAGCAGAAACTCAGGAAAGAAAATAACCAGGTTTACCACTGAGTATTCATCTTGAAATCAAGATAGGAGCATCAGAAAAGAGGTGAGAAAGAAATGTAAATTTAGAAAGGACAATTACCCACACATGAAGTAAAGAAGAAACAGAACCAATCTGAATCAAAGTTTCAAAACCTCAACTGAATCTATGTGAAAATTTCCGACTTAGGTGGACTCAGAAGGTGGATAATATAAAGTGAAGAGAGAAAGGGCTGTTGGTTCTTCTTGAAATTTGTATCAGTGGACCAGTGAAAGACTTGGGGCTAGAAACCCAGCTAAAGGAACTACTACAGAAAAAGACGATACAGGTAAGCTCACTGCGTGTTTCACAAAAGACTCAGGGTCATGAAGATGTCCTGGCTGGCATCTTCATCAGAGACCTAGCTGGGGAGGGTGTAAGGGTGGGAAATCCACATCATACCTCCAACTCACTCATATAACAAATTAAAATTAAGCATGGAGTTGTTATAATCACTTAGAGGTTAAGGATATGTAAGTAGAAAAAGGCAATCAAAGGCCCTACTCCTGTGGTGCTTCCATTGTGAAGGAAAAGAAAAAAGGAGTAAGCATGCTTTCAGTTCTTGGTAGTGAAAAAAAGGGTTAAAGGAAGAGGATATGGGTGTCAGCACTAGGGTGGTTTTTACATGAGGGTGGCTTTGAGGGAAATATCTGAAACAGTGATTGAGAGGAGATCTGTATGAATTCAGGAAGGAAGTCAGGAGAGACGCATTATAAGCACTAGGAAAACAACCCTAACGACCCTTACACAGTACTAAACTTGATGCGCTTGGAGACAAGATAACTAGCAAAGATTGAGAGGAACGGAAAAGTAGGAATACCGGAAAGTAAAGTGAGTAAGACAGACAAGGGTCGCTTCTGTAAGCTCTGGATAGATGAAGTGGGAAATCTGGCATTTATTTTAAGCGCACTGGAGAGACTTGAGCAGAAAACAGCACTTGCTTTACTTTAAGAGGGACACTGGCTTCTAAGAAGGAGCTGTGAGGCAAGAATTCCAACAGACAGAACATAAAAGAAGCTACTCCAAAATTCACCTCGGTGATACTTGAGAGTTAGTGTTGGGTGGTCAGCTATGGAAGTGAAGAGAAATAGGCAAATGTATTCTGAAGGCCAAGCCAAGAGGCCTTGCTTTGTATGGATGTAACACATGATAAAACACGAATCTAGCATGATTCTTAGATAGTAAGTCTGAGAAACAAAGCGAATAAGGGTGTCCTTCAACTTTACATGAATTCTATCTTCCTATGGCCTCTTATCAAACACTATGCTACAAAATCCATTGTACAAGACAGTTTGGATATACAGATACGTACCTATACATCAATTCATAGATACACATATATAAATATAAACATGTATCTTTCCTTGGCATTTATTTCAGAGAATTAAGAACTTATATGCATACAAAAAGCTATAGACAGGTGTTTATAGCAGCTTCATCTGTAATAGCCCAAAAATAGAAACAACTAAAATGTCCTTCAATAGATGAATGGTTAAACAATGTTATATATAAACCATGAAATACTACTCAGAAATAAAAAAAAAGAAACTATTCAATTGATTCCATTTAGATGGCGGTCAAGGGCAGTATGCTAAGTTGAATAAGCCAACTTCAAAGTCACATTTTTTACATTATTCCACTTACATAACACTCTGAAAATCACAAGATCGCAGAGATAGAGAATAGATTATTAGTTTAAAATGTCTGGAGATGCCTGGAAAAGGGGGAAGGGAGAGATTACACAAGGGAGAGATCTGTGGTAATAAAACAGTTCTATATCTCAACTACACTAGAAATTACAGGACTGTAAGTATGTAGTAGAATGATCACACATATTCTCATACCAAGATCAGTTCTGATGTTTTGCTATAACTCACAGAAGATGGAGGAAGCAAGGGAATGAAGGTTCTCTCTGTACTATCTTTACAACCTCCAGAAATCTATAATTACTTCAAAATAAAAACTGATTTTATAAAATCTAACTACGTACAAGTGCAAGACAAAAATATTAAAAGCAGTATACTATCAAATACTATATGTGACAAAATACTGCCTTCAGAATTTATGAAGCACATTTTTGTCAGTACGTATTACTAAGACATCTTTGGTGTTAAGTATCAGCTCAACTGACCATCAAAATTTCTCTGTATTAGAACATTTTGCTCCTGAAGGACTCTATAGCAAATAGCACTTGGAATTTAATGCTCCCTCTAACTACAAGCTTTAACCTGCAAATAGAACCTGTGGGTTCTTTTTTTCTGCATCTGTACACAGAAGGATTAGTGTGAGAGAAACTAATAGCTGCTAACAGTGGTGCTCTGATAACTTTCAGATATTCTGAACTATGAAACTTATTTGCTTAGACCCAAGCTATTTACCTTTCATGGGCCAGTCAATGCCTCTGGGCTCTAATATCTGTCCAGTCAGTGTCAAAATCCCAACCCCTACAATGTGTACTCTCAAAAAAAAAAAAAAAAAAGATAGCTTAGACCAAAAACCAGTGAGTGTGATCTCAAGGCTTATGGTGTGCCGTGATGGTAATTAGACTTTTAGTACAACAATCTTAAGGTTGCCTTTGGTAACAGAACTAGACTTGCACAAATCAGAGTGAACTTGGTGGTACAGTGACAGTGAAGTCTCCTTCAAGATGTCTTAGAACAGATTCTTGGGATTGTATTTCCTTAATGTTCTGCTCTTCTGACGTCATCCAGTTTTAATCTGAGTACGGAACATGTGGTGTCTGGTCTCCTGAAAGGCCCTTCTCCTTCCAGCAACACCATGAAGACGCTTTACTTGTGGGTGCATCTAAACCTCAGACACTTGTCATTGCTTCCTCACCCTCTCGTTCCCTCAGTCATTATTCAATCTAGAGTGTTTGTAACAGACACTAGATTTACAAAGCCTTTTGGGTAGTCTTAATTATAAAAACTCACATATCCCAAGGTCAACTTCAATTCAGAAACTCAGTTATTAACTAAGGTATTGTCTAAACTATGTATCTCATATCAAATCCTGTCTGATTTTTCTGGAGTGTAATGCATTATCAACACAACCTACAGAAGGAGCCATCCTGTCTAGATGCTGGTACTGGTTCCTTCAAGAGCGCTTTGCCAAGTACAACACTATGAACAGAATTAAATCACAGAGTTCCCATTCTGAATTTTGTGTTATTCTACCCCAGTAGTGGTGAACCTGCATGCACGCTGCAGTGGGCTGTTCGTTATCACTGAAAGCTCTAAAAGGTTCGCCATCACTGCTCTCTCCGTACCATTTTTCACATGTCAGTACATTCTAAAGAGTAAAACAAGTACTTGCATTTTCATTCTCTGAACTGGAATAAAACTTAAACCAATTGCAAATGATAGAGATGAAAACATCTTTCCAAAGACAAAATAGTTCATTTAACTCCTGTCAGAGATGGGCACCAGGAAGACTGCGAATATCCATCATTTTGAAAGAGAAAGAAGTAAGATACTTACAGCCAACCATCATCATGGCCACTGAGAACATCTTCTCCACATCTGTGGTAGGAGCTATGTTTCCAAACCCTATGGTTGTAAGGCTTGTCATGGTAAAGTAGAGAGAGGACACATACAGAGAATCCTTGCTGGGTCCTCCTTCCCATATCCCCGCGCTGGAATTGTACCGATATGGAGTTCCAATGCTCAAGGCCAGCTGGTACAGCCAACTGTCTATTTGGATGGTGTTGGTGACTTCATCGATGACCTCATAGTCTCCGATGCTATACCATATGCAGGCCAGCCAGTGGGCGACAAGTCCAAACACACACACCAGGAGTACAAGGACTGCAGCTCCATATTCTAGGTAGTGGTCCAGTTTCCTAGCAACACGGCCCAGTCGTAGGAGACGCACCACTTTTAAGGAACTGAAGAGACTGCTGATTCCCTGAATAAAAGAAAAGAAATGAAATCTCACTTTCAGAAAATAAAAAGTTCATACAACAGGGCATTTCTGTGAACTTGATCACCCATTTATATACTGAGAGTGTACACGTAAGAGGTCTGACTGTAAGAAAACAAAAGAGCCAAAATAATAAACTTTTTTTAAAATGCTATTTCCACCCTACTCGGAAGCAAGATTTAAAAAAATGTTAGTACATAAAAGAATTTTCCCTTACGAAATGATTAAAAATCTATTTTCACATGTGGAATATGAAATAACCAAAGAATGAGAAACCTAAGGATAAATAAATTACAGAACAAAATAAAAGAAAGATAACAGGAAACAGAAAGATCTTTTGCAAAAGGGAAGGGGACTAAGAAATGAAAGGAGGGAAGGGAGAAAAAAGAATTAAGACGTGTTGGACCAACTTCCCACAACAAATGTAATCATTCTATACTACAACCATGTACAAATAAAAAACTTCTTCAATAAAAAGAGAAGAAAATTGCACAAGCGCAATGCATACAGAGTGCCAAACTAGGGGTGATAAATTCAGCTCTTTTTAATTTTTCTTCCTATAAAACCTTTTCTCTACTCTTCTTTTTATTTCTTACTTTATAATAGCAATGTACACCAAAACTTCAGGAGAAAGAAACCTAGCCTTCCAGCGAGCAAACAAGAAATCCTTTTGTACCTCTGAAAAGAATAAGCAAATATCACTGTTGGTCCCACTGCCTCCTGCCACAGCCAGGCTGAACACTAAATATATAGAGTAGAGTTCTAAAAAGTGAGAAGAGCTGAACCTAGGATGGAGAGAAGACCTTCTAATTCCTGTCATCTTCTAGCAGTAATCATAGAAAAGAATACCAAAAGGAAAGAGCGGGAAGAAAATTGAGAAGCTTAAAATACCAAACAAAGCACAGCATAGTATTTCTTAAATCTAGGAAGATCCCATAGCTACTTCTGCAGAAGTATATAATACACCAGCAGGGGGAAGGATGGGGGGCAGAATCAACACATTCCTCATGCAGATCACAGAAAGGCCAGGAGAGGAGTAAAAGCATAGACCCGGAAAGCCATCAACCGATCACTGCCAGAAAACAGAATCAAGTCCATGACTTCCTTACTGCTAATTCTGTCTCCTAGACAGTGGGCAAGGACCTCAACACAAGGTACCCACAGCTTAATCAAGACCAACATGGGGGAAATACCTGATGTAGAGGAATGGCTGTGACATTAATAAGGCTCTACAAATGACACTGTACAGTTCTTAATAAGTAGTTAAGCTGGAAAAAGTTAAGAGTGCCCTGGCATTATTAAATTATACTCTATAATGTAGTATACTTTGAAATTTCTCACAAGAAAAATTTAAGATAGAAAGAGACAGAACTCAGCTATGAAGAAATAAGAGACCCTGATGTAGTACAAGGTAGCAGGAGTTATTCTGACAGTTTCCTGTCTCAACCTCAATTTCTTTAGACTTGCCTCTACTTTAGCAGCAGCTCTCAAATATAATGCCATCCATGTAGTCTTAGAATAAATTCTCATTTGAACACTTGGAGGGGAAACAAAGACACTGAACTTTAGGCAGTTAAAAGGATCAGAATTCCAGCACTCTGAGGGGCTGACACAGAAGGATCACAAGGTCAGTGCAAAGGCCCTGGGTTGAATACTGAATAGCAAAGAAGGGAGGAAGGGAAGGAGGCAGAGAGGGAAAGGAAGGAGGAAAGGAAGGAGAGAGGGAAGGAGGAAGGAAGGAAGGAAAAATCAACAGAATTAATAACATTTAGAAGACAAAATAGCATGATTCAGTGTCCTGAGACCCTGAAAGGTAAGAAGATTCAAGACAGCTTGGAAGCTCTCTGAAATGGACCTATGTAGTCAATCATGAAGGAATAGGAGAAAAATAAGCATTTGTTTATCACTTCTGAAGTCTGGGCTCTTGGGTTGAGCCCTAGGGACATTAAGATAAATATATCTCACTTTTGCTCTGAAGGGAGGTATGATCCAAACGCATGAAAAATTCAGAGTTCAACTTAAAAATAAAAACAACATTGCTATAGACAAAACTTTTTAGGTGACTTGAATTTTTACAGGAACTCTGAGACCTCTGTTTAAATAGAAAAGCCACTTCTACCTGAATTCTTCTCTATAAAAACAAAACAAAGAAAGCAGAAAAGAAATCCTAACTCCATTCCATGATCCCCAAATAGAATGTGAAGATTCAGAATATACTAGAAGTAGGTTCAGTGGATGGAAGGACCCACTCCTCTGATCTCTAGCTGGCAATCTTCTTCAAAATGAGATGACCCACCCTGAAAGGGACAGTGCTAAGGGTCACTATGTCAAAAGTACATTTCCTACAGCCATATCAAACCCTACTTGGGTATTACAGAATGTTCTGCATACATTGTAAGTGCTTTTTGCCATAGGTTCTATGACAACACTTTTCCAAGCTTTTAACCAACTCCCCATCTGACAGTGTCTTTCAAGATCACTTTCCAGAGCTACCCTCCCACATGCTTCTATGATCTCCGTCAGCCCTCTTCTGGTTCACGTCCTGTATGTTCAGGTTCCAACTGACTTCCGTATGTGGATGATTCCTGGGTCCACTTAGCACAAATTACTCCTTTGTGAGTTTCTCACTCATAGCCAAAGGCCTGCTGCACGTTTCCATCTGGATGTCTCATAGGTAGCTGAAAGGTAGTACGTCTGAAAAAGATTCTTCCCTCCCATAACTCAGTCCTCTCTCTCCTACCTTATGACATCATTACCCATCCCAGCACTGCGACCTGGGTTGAGACTGAGCTCCTCCCTGTTCCTGACAGTCACCTGATGGTTATAGTTCAGAGGAGGCAGGATACATTCCCCTGGTCTCTAAAACACAGTTTTCTTTTCATTGCTTTTCATATAAATTTGATTTTTATGGGTCCATGTTTGCAATACATAATGACTAATGTCAGCTCCTCATGGGGAGCTGGTACATGTGCATGACACATCTTAATCATTTTTTGTTCCCCCTTCCTGCCTCATCCCTCCACTTCTTGGACCCCTTCTCTTTTTCAAAACAACAAGCTCCCTATTTCCTATTACTTATCTTTTATTTTGCTCTTTATATATATTCTGATTTCTTAGATAAGGGAAATCATGAGATACTTAATCTTGTGTGTCTGATTTATTTCACCTAACACTATAGTCTCAAGGTGCATCCATTTTCCTACAAACGGCTCAAGTTTATCCTTTTTATGGCAGAGTAGTACTCCATTGTGTATAAATGTCTTTATCCATCCCCATTTATCCACATTGCCTTTATCCATCCCCACCTATTCACAGACATATGGATTGCTTCTGAGACTTAGCTATTATGAGTGTACAGTACAGCCATAAACGTGGATATGCGTATCACTATAAGATGATGTCTTTAACTCTTTCAGGAAAACACCTAGAAGAGGGACAGCTGAGGCAATTGGAATTTCTATGTTTACTTTACTGAAGAATCTCCACTGTGATTTCTACAGTGGTTGCTCTAGTTTACGTTCTCACCAACAGTGCAGAAGAGTGCCTTTTTGCCGAAAGTGTTACCAGCATTTGTTATTATTTGACTTCTTGATAATACCCATTCTTTCCAGAGTAAGGTAGAATCTCAATGTTGTTTTAATTTATATTTCTCTAATGGCCAGAGACGTTGAACATTTTAAAAAGTATTTATTGGCCATTTGTACTTCTTCTGAGAAGTATCTGTTCATTTCACTTGGCTATTTATTGATTATATCTTTTATTTGGGAAGATACAATATCGTTTAGTTCTTCATATATTCTAGATATTAGCTCTCTGTCCAAGGAGTAGCTGATAGAACTTTTTTCCCATTCTGTAGTTTGTCTCTTCACTCTGTTGGTTTTTTTCTTTGCTGTGCAGAGACTTTTTAATTTTATGAGATCCCATTTGTTGATTCTTGGTATTTTCTCTGGTGTAATTACAGATCCATTCAGAAAGTCTTTGTCTGTGCCTATGTCTTCATGAGTTGTAGTTATGTTATCTCCCAGCAGACTAAGTCTCTCTCCTTGAACATTTAGATCTTTGATCCATTTTGATTTTAGTTTAGTACCTTGTGAGAGATATGGGTCTAGACGCAATCTCCTCTGGCAAGCAATTTTCTAGAAAAGAAGGTGCTTGAAGTGCCTAGGTACTCAAAATATATCTATGTACTGTCTCTCCAAGAAAAGTCCATTTTATATTCCTATGGCCATGGCTTGGTCATCATTCCAAGCTTTGTTTTCACTTGTGAGATGCAAACACCTCCATTAGCCTCCCTCCCTCTGCCCTGCTGCTTCGGGCACAGATCCCATTATACAGGTTACCAGTCTAGTGCTTTTTTCACTGTACAGTTACCTAGCTGCATCCTCTCTGATCTAAAATCTGTTCATGCCAGCTCATTACTTCTAAGGTTAAATATTCATTCCCTACGATGGCATGGAAAGGTCATGAGAACTTGGCACCCGCTTACCTCATCAGTCTCTCTGCCCCAGCTCCTGTGTGCTTGCCATGCTGTGCCCATGCGCGGCTCTGTGTAGTTCACAGAATGCCTGTGCTGTCTGGTCCTAGAATACAAGTTGTTCCTTCCACTTGAAGCACTTTTTCTGGCTCTCTTGGTGGCTAGGATCTTGCTTGTAATTATAACACTCTCCTCCATAAGCATTTCCCTGACAGTTTTTCTCTACCTCTACTATCTTCACTGACACACGCTCACTTCTCTCCCCACTGTGAGAATTAGGTGTCTTTCCTTTGTGTTACTATATACTCTTCTCACATCTCCATTGCAGCATCTGCCACTAATACACTTTATCACAAGCCTATTGCCATGCATGATATTCCAGAACATTCTAAACTCTGTAAGGACAGTTTCTAACTTTAGTCACCAAGCAGGCAAATGGAAATATGTTAGTCAATAAAGTGAACACAAGAAAATTGCAACACAAGAAAATTAAGAGTTGAAATGGGGAGCT